ATAAGGGCAGGAGGAGTCTCAGATTTCAGCACAAAAATGTACATTTCCCCGATGAGAGGGAATTTGTTCAGTCTTCACTTAGTGATTCCCATACAGCTATATGAATGCTCAGAATTTTCTCTCACAGACTTAAAGTATGTTTTCAGTCACAGGACAGCCTTTCACTTTACAGCAGTACCAGAATGTTTTTCAAAATACCATCAATTTTACTCTTATGCCTTTCTGCTTTTGCTCTTACCCTCCAGCACCTCAACCTCACCTGCTTCTGTAAACCTTGTTGTATCTCTTGCCATGAGCAGTTGTTGGATGGTTTAGGATGAAGGTTGGCAAAGTGAGGCCCAAAGTGCCTCCACCAATGCGACCCATAATAAGCTGTAGTTGACCTTTCAGCAGTCTGGAGTGGTTTGCCACCAAATTTTAGCAAGTAACCACTGCTTCTTTTTCCTGCGGTGCCCTGGAAATGCTCTAGTATCCCTTAGAGTGTTTCCCCATCTCTTCACCATTCTCTTCCCCACTCTTGGTTTATGTAAAACACTATACCAATGAGCTACCATATTTTTCCATGTATAAGATGATATTTTTTCTTAAAAATATTTACCTAAAATTGGAGGGGAGTATTATACATGGGGGGCCAAGAGGAGAACTGCGGACGCACTTGGGTGGGGGGGACTGGCATGATCGGGGCGCGCTCGGGAGGAGGGGGGGGTGGGGGTGGTTGGGGGGAGGGGGGTGCGCTCAGGGGGAGGTGGACGTGGGGGTGGGCACATGCACATGTGCAGCAGCAACTTGCTCAGAGATCAGTAAGAAAAGTGGGGGGCATCTATAAAAGTGGGGGGCATCTATAAATGGGGGCATCTTATAGATGAAAAAATATGGTATATTTTGGAGATGGAAGAAGGTAAATGTGCACAAGCAAGTCTGGCTTCTTCACTGGCTCTTGGTAAAGCAGTTGCTACGTTCTTAAATGAAAGGGAACCCAAGTACTGGAGAGGAGACTGTGGGTAACAGGAGCAAAGCAGAGAAAGAAGAGCGTGTTGGCCAACAGTTCAGGATGGAGCGCGATCCTGAACCTGTTTCGTTACAAGCGCTGAGCTAACCAGGCTTACTGCCAAGTTAGGGCAGCATCCAGCACTGCACAGATATATGAGCAGCATGGTTTGGGCAAGTGTGCAATGCTGAGTGTGTTAGTGCAGGTTTAGGAGAGAGAAAATGAGGAAGTGTGAGAAAGAAAAGGGATGCTCACGCAGAGTATGATTCAGACATGTGCACTGGTACACTGGCCATCCATACAAGCACTGCTCGCGTCCATTGTGAAATCCCAGCTTTTTTGATCTGCCATTCCCATAAATCAGTGAACTTTTTGTTGATCACTTCCAAAATGGTCCACAAACTCTGTATCACTACTGTCAATTTATATATACTCTAACAAGCTATTAAAATATTGGCCAAGAATTATGGTGACATTTCAATGCCACTCCATTCTGAACTACACTTTAATGCTGTTATTCATTTTGTTACTAGCCACATCCAAGTTACATTATATAGTTACCAAGTCTCTCAGAATACAGCTTTACTTTGTAGCAATCTCTGGAACACTCTTCTTTTAACCCAGCCATTAGTCCCTAAATAAGCACATCCTGTTCTCAGCACCTCCCCCTGCTACAACGATCCAGTCTTTTCCCCGCACTATAAACTGAGATGAAAATAGCAAGCTTGCTATGGCAATTGTGGAGGTAAATGGCATATTTTTATAAAGTTGCATAACTTGCAATTAGCATAGATCAAAGTCCCCTGCTGTCTCCATTCATTTGAGCTTACTTCATCCAAAGCCCAAAAGCTGAAATCATTCTTGCCACTTCAATCAGGTACCTACCAATAATACTAAGACTGCTGAAGCAACACAGATGGGTTTTAATGAAGGAAACTTTTTTGGGTGCTTGCTGAGTAAGTCGTTTGTTTTTATGGAGTGTCTTGTTAGGAATAAATCCATTAGAAACCAATTTCTATTCAGTAACTGTGTTAAAAGTGCTGTTCTAAAGTATGTTTAAACTTGCTTTGCATGCAGCCTGTTGCAATGCCAGCCCCCAATACAAAGGCCATAAAAATAACTCCCTCTTGCAGTCTAGAATGACTTGCATGCATGACTGCCCCAAACCCAAGAAGGTCACAACAGACAGCAGGACTTTTGTAAAGGACAGATAAACAGCTCTGCTCCTTTGTCCATGCATTTCTTTATCAGCATTTAATTAGCTACCACTTCTGGCTATACTAGGAAGAGAAGAGTGCTGGGTTGTACACCCTGTTCTGATGTACCAGCCACACAGCATAGTTCCCTTTCATTATCACAGAGGCAATTGATCAGCATACCAGAATGAAGGACATTAACTCCAGACTAAGGGCAGACCATAAAAAGGAACACACAATACATATTACCTCCAACCTAAACTTGAGTGGGGGATGAATGTGCTATTAACTATATAATTAAAAATGGACTTAGTGAACACAGATGCAATCCAGTTGGGACCTGTCCAACTCCCTCCCTCCTCCCCAATGCATGCATAACATTCACTTCAAAGAGACTTCAGGCAGCAGAAGTTCCTAGTAAGTTATGAATTAAAACAAGGCTGTCAGAAGAAAAACAGTAAAACACATATGGTAGCCAACAGTTCTTTAGAAGAGTTAAGTGAGATTCTTACAAGGCCATTTAAAATGGTAAAATTCAAAGAACTGTTTGGTAGCTTAGATGGGGTTACCAGAAACAACATTCCTCCTACACATAGGATTGGAACCAGTACTTTTAGAACAGTTCTTTTATTTAAACTTCTCAACCACAATATATAAACCAGTGCAGAGTATCCAAAGTTATAAATATTAATGTAATGATTTGCTTAAAAGTGGAAGCCATTCTGAGCAACTGCAAGCTACTCCTAGAAAAAGAATATGTAGATACACTCCAGTGTTCAGATGGAGAAGCAAGGGCATATCTAAGTTTTGCACCCAGACAGATTTGAAGCCATCTGTCCTACCAAGGCAATCCACATAAGGGTCAAAGGAGCTGACTGATTGATCTCTGAGCTCACCTTATTCATGTGTTTGAAGATACTGACATACTAAATGTTTTACACAGAAACACATACAGTACGGTATGCGAACTAACAGAATGGCAAAAGCAATAAATTAGAGAAGTATTACAACTAGGGAAGCCTCAGGGAACAACTAGGTTGTAAAGAGACATTGGAAACTTGCAGCAGTTTCCAGCACTGGGTGGAAACTGTTTCTCCCTGACAACATCTTGTGGACATCTATTCAGCTATATGTTCAGTCTGTATGATTAGCATATGCTATTCTTGAGACTGTTAAAGTGGTCAGTAACATATCTCCTTTATTTAAGTGAGCTGACATCACTACTAACCCTTTCTTATGATCCATCCCCTTCTCTTCTTAATGTTTGTATCTAGAGTTGCATTACAGAGTTACAAAGAGATTTTATCACATATGCATTAATCTATAGTGGGCTGACTGTACATCCTTGACTACTTGTCAGCATATAAATCACATGAAACATTTCTTGAAAAGTTACTTATAAATAAGAAAAGTATCCTATATTCTAATATTAAGATTACACGCAACGTCTGGGGAACCTTGAATTAACTACAGTTTAACAGTGCAATCCTATCGATGTTAACTTAGAAGTCTGCAACATTACTCCCAGGTAAGTGGGTTTGGCTTACAGGCTACATTACATAGCCTGTACATAGCCTCTTTGACTGAGGCATGCTGGGAGTTGTAGGACATTCTTCTCTGTATAGAACTGCATCCTAAATTTGTGTTTTAAACTGTTCTGTGCTTTCTATTTATTGCATCACCGATTCTCCTTTGTATTTTCCTCGACTATGTTAACCACCTGTTTGTGTTCATCTTATGAACTGAGGAAATACTTTTATGCCAACTACCATCCTGATAAGCAAGATCTCTTTTATAAATATTGTAATTTCAGCTTCCTTTTTATTGTTAGTACAGGAATTTGCAAAACCAGAGTGAGACTGAAATAGCAACAGGAAGCTATTTTCTGGGTAGGAAGCCACAGGGCTACAACCACATTCCCTTATCCTACGCAGCAGAACATTTCCCCAGCCAATCTCACGTTTTTGCAAAAGGGCCAATCTGACCCAGACAGCGGGACAAGGGTTGCAGCAATTCTTCTACGAGGAAAAATTACAGCATCTGAAACTGGGAGGTGGGCAAAACGGGGCAGAATTGTGCATGGTGTGGAGAAAGTACATTTCTAATACTTTTTCTCTGTCTCCCATAGCATTAGAACCCAGGATCATACCAGGAGGCTAACAGGTGAGCAATGCAGGTCAGATAAAAGATATATTTCACAAAGCACATGGCTGAACTATGCAATGCATCTTCCAAGATATAGTGACGGCCACCAATTGGGACAGCATTAAAAGGGTACTGGATAAATTCAGGGAAGCCATCAATGGCTGTTATTTCTGACAACTACATGCTACCTCCAGATCAGGGACAGCGCATCTATGTACACTAGTTGGGAAATTTCAGCAGGAACTTCGCGTGCTGCTTGTGAATTTCTTGTGGACAGCTGGTTCACCACTGCATGACAGAAGGCTGGACTAGATGCACCCTTGGCCTGATCCAAAAGAGCTCCTCTTATGTAGCTAAAATATCAAGTACCAAAATGTTCACTATGATCCACTGCCTTCCCCAGTCATGCTGTTGCTCAGATATACATCAAAAGAAAGCTATCACACCCTAATGACATACACCTTTTGATTCACAGTCAAACATAGCAATTATCTTATATATTAAACATTTGAAGGTCAGTACTCTCACATCAAGGTGAGACACTGCTTCTCCTTTTAAAGATAAGCTGAATTCCCAAGAAGTACACAAAGCATGTCTCTCTACTCAGAACCCAGATAACGTCCCACAGATCCTCACTGTCATATGCATAAAAGCAGGCAGAACATGCTTACCCGAGAGATAGTCAGAGGCATGTTGAAATCTTTGCCACCTTGCAGCCTGAAACCCCAAGGGGCTGGACCAACCAAAGAAACACTGTAGTTGTTCATGGTGCTTGGCAGTCAAGATCTAAATCCAGAAACTGAGTGTCTGCAAGAGAGGATTAGAAATTCCTTATTATACTGACAAAATACACACATGAAAGCAACAAAGGCAAAAATTCCATATGCTTTCCAAAGCAAGAGGCACAAGTGTTGACATCTTGGCCTGAAAGCAGCTGAATGAAAGCTAACTTTCGTAAGAGAAAGAGAAATGCTGACAGTCAGACAGGGAGATTACTACCTGCCCAGGCAATGGTTAGGCCTTGTAACGTGGGAGGATTCCTACTGTTTCTGCTAGATGTATGGTGCTGTGCCAGGAATGCTGTTTTTGGGCTACTATTCCTTTTTTTTTTCCTGGTAGACAGGGACTTTACATTCTTATTTGAATTACCATGGTGGACTCTGCCTGGGCTGCTCTTGAACAGTGTTTGGAAGCCATTTATTCATAAATGATTAGTGTTTCGTCACAAAGAACCACACCATCAGAATATTCAAATCACTGCACTAGTTGCCTTTGAGTTTCAGGCAAATTTCAATAGGAATATTTTGACTTCTAAATTCCTGGGGAGAGAGTATTTTATGCAGGACTTCTTTCCCATCAATGTATTTTTGCCAACAAAAATGTATTTTTTCAGCAGGCATCTTGCTTGGTACACCCTCTAAGATTGCAGCCTACATTAAATGAAGCTATGCAGGGTAAAGGGCTACTTTGTGGTGGAACCTGCACTTCTTTGTAAGAAATCCTGCCAGGCAAAGGGTCTAAGCAGGGTTGCACAAACACAATGTCCTACTGGTTGCGGTCTTTAAGCAACAGAAATAGGCAGAAACGTCTTCTTGACAGCTGCCTTTACAGCTAAGCATGAAGCAAGTTAACCATCCACTTCCTTAAATATTCTGTATACCAAAGAGGAGGCCCTCTTGCTCTGTTGGAGACAAGCTCCTTCCTGCCATATTGTGGCCCATGAAAATGGCTCAGTGGGGAGCGTAATTAGCCCCTTACTTTGAACAACATTTGGAAATGACAAGAACTGCTCAGAACAAGGGAATGGTCCTTCACTGGTTTATTTTTGATGGTCAAATGCTGTCTTCATCACCTGGAGAGCAGCAGCCACATGGGGTGGAACAGTTTCCAAGTAATTTTGTGATGCTACATTTTTCCACAGCATGTATGCATATGTCTGGGCTTTCGTGCTGTAATCATGCTCTTTGACCCAACTGTAGGATGTTAACTTCTATAAGTTAAAGGGTAGCATTGGCAAAGCTTATTGCTCAGTTGCCCATGGGACTAAAAATAAAAATAAATTAAATTAAAAAGGAGTGACAAGCCCTTCCAATACATACAACACTGCATCAGGCTTATACATGGCATGTTTGCCCTCTATTGCTAACACCTTTCAATAACAAACTGAAGGAAAACTGAAACTAAGACATCTGAGATTATGGTTTGTTTCATCTTCCGCAGAGAAGTGTTTGATTTCTTCTCTTGTGCTCAGAAAGTCAGGAGTGTTTGCATAAGCCTTTTATTCATGTAGTGCTTGTGGTTACTTTGAGCTAAGTTATCATGTAGGGACACAAGAAGACTAGCATGTGGCATCACAATAAAAATGCTGAAGGAAGACAGACAACCGGTAAATGTAAATATTGTGAGCAGAAGTATGTTAACAATGCAACAAGAATGAGGAACCATTTAACGACATATAAAAACTGTCCTTAAATAATGCAAGAAACATGCAGGAAGCTGCTAGACACCAGTGGGGGGGGGGGGCTCATAGTTCCAAGCATTGGAACCCCCTCCCCACATCACTATGTTTGAGTCCTTCCAAGACTAGCATAAAGTCGGAGCATCCTTTCCTAAGTCTTTTCTTCAAGCTAAAGGGCAGCAGTCTCAGGAACCATAAATGATGCCTGCCCCTCAAAACTAGCCAAAATTACACATCTGCTTGTTACCTCCAAGAGTTAGTTACTGGGTGCTAGCTTGTTTGCTTTTCAACTATGTAACATTCTTCATTTCTCTACATTCCCAATCTTGTTAGAAATAGAGGAATATAAGGAAGAATATCTGTCATTCTTTGGGAGGGCAGGTGTTCTACTTAATCCTAAGTATGCTAAGGGTAAAAACAGGCATTAGTTTATTAGTTTCCCTAGGGAGAAAGATCAGCCTGATGAATACAAGCCAACAAGCCAGCCTTGCTAGCATGAAGCTGTTAGATTTGCAGAGCACCAGCTTGGGAAAACTGATTATATGTCACTTTTTCAGTGAAATGGCTCTGGAAATAGCTGAACCCAGAATAAATTATGCTCAGGAACTTGGCCTCAGTTCAGAAGCTTTAGCCAGCTCTAAGTCTTCTCATTTTCTTCTGAAGGGGAAATGTTTTGTATGTGTGTACAATACAAAATGCCTGACATTTGCTCATTATAGAAGTTAACTTGGATTGGAAAGAGTTCTAGATAAGGTCTGTTCTATTTCTAGGGCTCTGAGACAATTTAACAGCCATTAAGATGGAGCTTCTAGAAGTCTAGCTTAAATTTCACCACAGGGAGGAAGGAATGATCTTCTCACTGTCACAATTCAGAGCACAGGATAAAATCTGAAAAAACAATTCATATCTCATTTATGGGTTTTTCACAGGCAACTGGTTGGCTACTGTACAGAACACTAGACTAGATAGGCCTTTGGTCTGATTTAGCTTGGCTTGTCTTCTGTTAAAATAGTTGTTACATAAGCACATTTGTAAAAAAAAACATTGCTGAATTAATCATTACTGAATATATTTTATTGTTGTCTTAACCTAAGGGTAAAAGGATACTAAGGAAGAGAGAACTGGAAGCAATATTTGCATGCATGTTTATGAATGTATACACAAGCTGCAATACTAAGTAGCCATGAATGTTTAATTATCAATGTCCTTGATAATTTCTGCTGATCTCTGGATTTCTTAATCTCAATGTAGCAAACAAAATAAATTGATATTTAACACCTGCCTTTTAAAATTAAGTGATCAAGAAATTCTGAAATGGAAGAATAAGATGTAAGAATTAAGAATCATCTTAGGTGGAATAATTGAGTCATATTTTTTCTTGTGCTTTATGGATTTAACAACACTTATATGTAACCATTACAGCAAGAAAGCAGAATGATAAGGATGTTCCATTTTTCAGTACATTTGGTTAAGGTAGTTGACCTTACCTGACACACAAAGTAATTGCAGATTGTTTTGTGTTCTGCAACTTCATGATAAAATAGTGTCTTCCATTTTTATATATTTGGACTAAGAGGTCACACAGGCTTCAAAATGAAACTAGAACATGGTACAGAAAGATACTGAAGCTACTCAGTATTTAAGACAGTTCTTGAGTTAAGCAAGTGATTGGGGGAGAAATAGAAAATGTGAGGGGTCTTATTTTCCCTGAAGCATGTTCTTATGTAAATGTGGAAGGGGGGCCAACAAAATTGCAAACAAAGTTTCATATACTGTAACAATTTTACCAGAGTTTCTCATTCTTTAGTTCAGCAAAACTCTCTGGAAGAAGAAGAAAAAAACAGTACACCTCCAAGAGCAGGTTTTCCAAATACAGACACACAGAAATTAGCAACATTCTACTGGCTGCCAGGTTGGAAGAATTCTGGCATGTGATTGGTTGAAGAAGTGTCTTGCTGCCGGGACAAATTCGTCTATTTCACTATCAATCACAGGCCCTAATCCTGAGACACTCTGTTACAGATCAGAGTTTAAAGCCAGGATAGGAAAGGTCAGCAAGGTACTTCAGTCCTCCCTCACTTCATAATCTTATAGCAAAAGTTCATCTTTCTTCCAGGAGCCACTGGACTGGAACACTGCATATCATGACAATAAGTAGGGCTTCAGATTTTGGAAATCACTGCATACATTAATGATTGTCTCGAACAATGAATAGTAGTTACATGCAGACAATCAATGGACAGTAGTTACATGTAGACAATAATACAGTAGACAAACATAAGAGGCTTGTTTATAAACATCATTTATCTATCCCTTTTTCTTACAAAGAATCCAAAGCAGCTTTCAAAATTCTCCTCCTGCTGCTCTCAGTCTTATCCTCACAACAACCACCATGTGAGGTAGTTTAGGCTGAAAGTCTGCGACTGGTGCAAAGCTACCCAGTTGGGTCCATGGCTGAGTGGGGACTACAACCCAGATCGCCCGAGTCCTAGTCCCACACTCTAAACAATTACACCACACTGGCTCTTCAGTTAGCACATTTGTTTCCCCTTAACATTCCTTCGAAGTTGAAATGGTTTTTTTTTTCTTTAATTTTATCCTATCCATTTTTAGAAATGATTCCCAGGGTGGATGGGAAATAGCGGGATGTGATAAGTGCTCCTTTTTGCCCTAACCATGCATAGGATTACATCCTTAGATGATCATTTTGATGATGTTCAGGAACTGACTTTTGAACTACATTTAATCCTTGAATTTCTCACATCCAATATTCAACTTACTACATATATTTTCAATTCTAACACATTCCCCTGCAACCATCAGTGAATGTAGAAGAAAGCACCTGAAAATTAAGATACTGAATTTTCAGATTAATTCTTTATCCTAGCATATCTGTTTTGAAAAAGATTCTGACCTTTTTTTTGTTTTTCCATTGCAAATATCTCCCTTCTATTAAAAATTATTTGCATGATATTATTTAATAATATCTGTTTAATATTTATTAATATCCTTAAATGATAAGCAATATGATCAGCTTCAGGATCGCTACAGTTCTGTGGGGCAGCTAACTAGTTCCTGATAAGGAGGAGGAAATAGGAGCAATTCGTCAGCTTTCAGTCACAACCTGGCCTGCTCCACCCTTCTCTGAATGTGTCCTGCAGTCTTTACCGTGTCTAGAATTACCGATTTCCCAACAGGTTGCCCCTGCAGGTTCCGTTGGAGAAGCAGGATGGGGGGGGGGGGGCGCAAGGAGGAAGAGAAGTAACCCAAAATGCAAGCCAGGTAATTCCAGCCCTGGAACCTACCGAACAGGGCTAAGGAGCTGCTCATTTGCCAGCTTCCAGTCTTCTGAAGCGGGTGCGAGGGAGGAAGAAAGGGGAAGTGCCAGCCCTAGACTGTTTTCTATTAAACGGGAAAGGAAGTGCGAGATGAGAAAGAAAAAGAACTCACTACAAAAATAAGCCAGGATCTGACTCCGTTAAGCCACGCCAGGTAAAGCGAGCTGCTGCTGAGACACCTGGGTGGCTCCGGCAAAGGAACGGCTTTCCTCGCCCTTCCCGCCAGCCAGCCGGTCGCGTTTACTGCAGTTCCTTACTAGCGCAGGTCTCCTGCCCCGCAGCCCAGGGACACACAGTAACCGGCGTCTAAGGGCAAACAGGATGTCTCGCCGCCCTCCCCTTCCCCGCCACACACTCGCTCTTCCTCCAGGTCTGCAAGGTGGTGGCGGAGGGACGGCCGAAGAGCCTCCCGTCCCTCGACCCCCCGGAGCCGCACCGGGCTTTCCCCGGGCGCAGCCTTCGCGCCGCAGGGCGCTGCCCCGAGCCGCCGGGCAGACGCGCCTTTGCGCGCCAGGGAAACCCCACGCCGCGGCCCCGGGAAAGAGCCCGTCTCGCTCTTCCCGCCTCGCCCACCCGCAAGCCCCTCGACTCACTGCGGAGGCGGCGGCTGCCCCAAGCGCGCACAGTCGCGGAAAGCGCACAGCACCGACGACGCACGGGCGCTCGCACCGACTCGAGGGCGTGCGAGAGCAAACTCCCCGGCTGCGCGCTTTCGCCGCGAACTCTTGTTTGCACTTCCGCCCCTTTTCTTTGGGCTCCTCCCCTCTCGGCTCGGGAGGCACCGGGAAGTTCTCCCCAGCTGAGAGAGCGGGAAACCTGCCAGAGGGCGCGCACGGGCGCGGGAGGCGAGAGAAGGGGTCCGAGGAGCCCCGCTCGCCGGCTTGGCGGCTCGGGCGCACCCCGCGTATGTTACTCAGAAGCCGGGAGGCTTGCTGCCTTCTGGGCAGGATTCAGAAGGCTGCAGTCTTAAACGGCAGAAAAGCTTTCGCTCGAGCTACTTAAAGTGAAGCACGTCCAAGCCCTGCTAAAAGGAGAACGCTAAGCGTGATTCTCAGATCCCTTGCTTGGGTCCCACTGAATGCCAAAAAGCGCCTTAGTTTGGGCTGTAAGTTCGGTTCCAAACCTGCGTGTAGTTGCTTGTGATCAGGCCCAATTGAAACCAGTGGAATTTTATTCAGTATGAGTAGGCACAGCGTTTCCACTGCAGTCAGCATTGAAGGATTTGTTTCATGTATATTCCACCTTTCTTCCAAAAATGCCACACATGGCCATTCCTTCCAACTCATTTTCTCTTAAAAAGAACACTGTCGGGTGATTTAGACTAATTAAAAATTGTTGGTTGGTCCAAGGTCATACAGTGAGCTTCAGTGCTGCACAGGGATTTGTCTCCAGTCTTGATGCTGTTAACTTACAACAGCCTTCCCTGATTGCCTTATAACCTTCTGGTCAGCTCTCATAATCTCCCAGCCAGCATGGCTAATGCATCTGTAGAATACCAGCTTGGTGAGCATGAACTTCCCTGGAGAAGGCAATCATGCTGGGGAAAGTTGAATGCAGAAAAAGAAAAAGATGACCGAATATGAGATGATCTCTATGAAGGAAGCCACAGCCCTGACCGAGTACAAGAGCTGAGCAGGGCTGTCATGGATAGGACATTTTGAAGGGCTTTCATTTGCAGGGTCGCCATAACTCAAGATGACTTGATGTACATAGCAACGACAAAGCATGAGCTACACTATACTGGGTACCCAGGATGCCTATAAGCTTCTGAACTTGGAGAATTATGGGTATCCTATCCAAATTGCTATCTCCCTGCTCTTCCTACTTTGCCATCTGGCAAGGGTGCTTTGGAAAGGGAGGGAAGGAAGCTGCCAAGGACTCATGCTGTGGGCTTCTCCCCTCCCTCCCCTATGGAATGTCCCCTTTAAGCCCTCCTGAGGTAGCATTTCCAGTCTTGAAGAAGCCAGTTGTGAGGGAGGGGAAGGCAGGGGTTAGAATGTAACACTGTACCTCAAGGTATGGCCCTCCTGGTGTTGTGTCCACATTGCCTGGGCCCCCAGTATTGGGAGTTTGGAATGGGGTAGTAGGGTGGTTACTTAACTGAAGATATCTCAAAACAGAATGCTATGTAAGTCCAGACAGGGAAAAATCCTTCAACTCCCAGTATGCCCCAGCCAGAATGGGTGCTTCCGGGTACATTATGAGCCTAGGATTTTATTTTCAGTAAAGAAATGAATTGAGCTTACAGTCCTTTCAGCACAAAAACCTATGTCTAGTCACTGCAAACTTTCTTCATCTCAGCAGCCTAATTTAGATACCAAGAAACTGATGCAATTACCTACCTGCTTCCTGGAATTTAACCAAAAATAAATGTAATTGGATTTGTCATGCCTTTTTGACACTGAAAAGACTGATTTTACATTATTGGAAGCATACATGACTGTCTCTGGGAGTGTAATAGGTGAAGGAGTAATGATGTTTTGAACTGTTGAACCAGTGATCTTTAGGCATAATCTATAAATGGATAAATACGTGGATAGTTGTCTCCTTTTGTTGAAGTGTATATGTATCTATGCTTATGGATAGTAATAAATTTGCTTTTTATAAATTATCTGGGGAATGAACCTTTCATTTGTATCAGTTGTAATCAATCTATTCCAATTTCATGGAACAAAACTGTAATTTTATTTTAATTTATTTTTAATTTTTATTTTGTTCTTTTGATTTTTTTGCTTTAATGAAATTCACAAGAACTTGCTCTCGGTCAGCTATGTTATTGGAAGCATGTTGGGAGCTGTAGCCCAATACATCTTGAGGCTCCATGAGATAAAGGTGAGATAAAAATGGACAAATTATGAACCCAAAAGACTTGTGTTTGTTTAACCAGGTGTTTTTCCCAGTGGAAGTACAGCTGTCACTCCTCCCTGCCTGTAACTATGTTCTAGAATGCTGACAGATGTCTTGTTTGATTTTGCACCAGGCTGGCTTGGTTGGCCAGAAAAAAAGCATGTATTACCAGCATGCTGGGTCATGCCAGCCTTCCCTTACCACCCACAATGACATATGCATTCATCATCTCCTGGCTACATGAAAGGAATTAACTGTCTGCTATGCAGATCTGTCTTACAGCTGGGCAAGGCTAGTCCTGGTGGATTTATGCTACATCTACTGTCGGGGACAATATGGCTATGGACAACGATTGCTGGGGAACATGAGTGGGGGCAGTGCTCTTGCAGTCATGTCCTGCTTGTGGGTTTCCCATGGTCGGTCCAGCTGGATGAATTTCTGGCATTTGGTCAACATGGGACTAGAATAGTAGACTAAATGGACCCTTGGCCTGATCCAGAAAGGCTGTTCTTATGTTCCTTATGTGGCTAGAATGGCTATTGCCAAGATGTTTGCTCTGATCAGCTGCCTTCCCTTGTCATGTTGTAGCTCAGATGTACTTCAAAAGAAAGCTATCACACCCTAATGACATACACCTTTTGATTCACTGTCAACAGTGATAGGAAAATAGCATTCTGTTAGCAGTTATCGTAAATATTAAACCTTTGAAGGTCAGTGCTGTCACATCAAGGAGAGATACTGCTCCTTCCCTTAAAGATAAGCTGAATTCCCAAACTTTAAACAAAGTACATATCTTTGCACTCAGCAAGCAGATCTTTATATGCATAAAAGCAGGCAGAACATAGTCAAAGGCACGTTTAAATCTCTGTCACCTTGTAGCTTGAAACCCCCAGGGCTAGACTATCCAATGAAACACTGTAGCTGTTCATGGTGCTTGGAAGTCAGGGCCTAAGTCCAGAAAATAAGTTTCTATGAGTTTCTGATCATAGTAACAAAACATGTACAAGCAACAGTTTCTAACAGTTCATATGTTTTCCAAAGTGAGAGGCGCAAGGGTTTGTGCCGCTGCCTGAAAGGGGCAGAATGAAAGCCAACTAAATCAGAGACATGCTGAAGGGAGATTACTACCTGCTGGGGCAATGGTTTACACCTGGGTAATAGCTGGGCTTTGCATATGGGGAGCATTCCCACTCTTCCTGCTAGATATGTGCTGCTGATGTGCCAGGAGTGCATTAATGCTTTGGGCTGATACTCCAATTGGGCCACCTCTGAAGAGCATGGACTTTGCATTCTTGCTTAAATTATGATGGACTCCACCTGGTCTGCTCTTCATTCTTCATGTGTTCTTCTTGTGATGCTCAGCATCACATGTTGTGATGATGGCCATCAAATTTGGTGGGCTTAAAACAAGCATGGCACATTCATGAAGGAAAAAGCTATTAGAGACTCCTAGTCCTGATGGCTATATGCTACCACTGGTACGAAAGTCAGGATGCCTATGATCACCAGTTATTGGCATGGCAATCAACCGTTCCTGCCATGTATCTCATTCGCTTTTTTCCTATCCATTTTACTTTTTCTGGCTTATTTTTTGGTTTGTTTGCAGGTCCAATGGCAGTGCCTTTATCTCTTTTTGTCTGATGTGAGCCACTTTGGAAAGCAATAATTGCCTGAAAATGGAATAAAAATATTTTATTTCATTTCTGTACCACCTGATGGCAGAAGCACTCTAAGTCATTGGTATGTTTGCAATTATATAAGTAATAGCACAATCCTATTCACATCTAGACAGGAAAAAATGTACTGCTTCCAATCTCCACCAACTTGGCTGAGAAAAGCTTGGAGTTGTAGAACTGTTTTCTGTCTAAACATGCATAGGATTGTGTCTTATGGAAATGAATAGGATTACCTTGAAATAGATAATTAGAAGTTATATAATTTCAATGCAGTAGTTAGAAATGTACCTAAATATGTTCCCTTGGACCAAAAGTGCTTAATTTAGTATGAAATTGGCTGCTTAGATTTGCCAAGATATTCTATACAATATTCTATTCTGTCCAAGTGTGGACAGGCAAGAAGGACCTTGTAATTATGAGTGCAAAAAAGTGTAAAACCTACCATTTCTAGATTAGGTATTTCAAAAACTTAACATTTGTCAGGATATATAGTATTCAGAAATGTTTGGTGCATCAGTGTGTGTGTGTAATGGTTTCATGTGAGGGTATAAATCTAGCCTACACTATTAGCTTTTCCAAAAAAGAAGTCTTAGATACAATAAGAGAGTAAATCAATCAGCCTTTCTCTTTCTAAACTGAAAGCCAAGGGACTTTGTTTAATTCCATTGCCTTGACAACAGGGAGTGATGTACGCACAGTACTGCTTTATTTTTAAAGGGCAGGTTACTAGTCATCCCACTTAAGGAGCGGTTTAGTACAGCATGTTCCCCACCACCATGCACAAGCGCATGATGGTAGCCCTTGCAAATCCATGCCAAAATCTTGCAGTTGGACTTTCAAAAATATTTCATGCACATTACATTCAAAAATACAATATAAGCAAGCATTAGATATTAGTCTAGTGCTAAAGTGGAGAAGGCAGACCGTTGCTCTTGGTTCTTTACCTAATTATATTTCCCAGGAGGAAAAAGATATTAGCAAGCCACAGCATGAAAATCAACTGGGCTTGGCAGCCAGTGAATACAGTGTTTTAGACCTCAGCTGCCAACAGATACAGTAAATGCATTACACGGGGGGGAAGGCAGTTTGTTTGAAGTCTGGCAGCAATTCCATGCTATTAGTATTGGTAATTATTTTTGAGGCTCTTTATACTGTTGAACACAACATAACAAGCCAATCCACAATGGATTGCCATACAAATTAAGCTCAAGAGATAGGGATGTATGT